AGTACATCTTTATGAAATATAGAAGAAAATAAAATGTGCCAATGAAACCCCGCAGAATTAATGAAACTTTTGTACATAGAACCCTTTGAGTTAATAAAAATAGTTGTTGAAAATATGCAAACTCAATAGTCGAAATACATTAGCATCTGTGTTCTGATAGATAGTGGGATAGTGACGTTGTGAGACCCATCAGACCAACTCAAGCTCCCAAAATAGTAAATCGAATTGGTTTTGTGAGTTGGGGATACTGTGACCTTGAAGCTGAGTTTCTTGACGTTGGAGTTAAAGACCGAAAATATAGGCCCTCCGTAAGGATCTTTTTTGGAAGCTTCAATCGATTAAGAAGGATTCACTCATTAAATCACTAGATATATATTTTAGCTCCAGACCTAGCCCCGCAAAAGCCGATCTCATCAGGATCCACGATCTGGTGTTTCACGGATGCTACCTGGCGAAGTGACTCCAAATTATCGGGACTCGGATGGATTTTTAGGAACCAGGACGACCAAATCGTCTTCTCGGGCTCTGTAGCAAGAACACATGTATCATCCCCTCTTATGGCCGAGGCACTAGCCATGCGCGAAGCCCTAAGTTAATCATGAATCTCCAATCCTTCTGCATGTTATCCGATTCTCAAGCCATGATCAATCTGATCAAAGCAAAAAATCAAAACTTGAAAATCTTCGGAATCGTCCAAAATATCTATCATCTCTCTCTCTCAATCTCAAAGTCACATCCTCTGAGTGATTTTCAATTCTGTTGCTGATGGTTTAGCAGAATTAGATATAAACTATGTATTGGTTCATCCTGTTTAGACCGGGTTTATGGAATTAATATTTTAGACTAAAAAAAAAAAAATTGATTTGGAAAGGCGACGTAAACACGATTTTTTATTTGGAAACAAATTATGTAAATAATTTGAACACTAAAGATCTATTTGTTATTTTAATAAGTTTTAAACCCTAATTATGAAACACTCATATTTTTTTGGATATTTGCAAAAATGCAACTTTTGTATCCACATTTGCAAAAAATGCCGCTTTTGGTGTCAATTTGCAAAAATACCACTAATTATTTTTTTTTAGAGCATAAATCTTAAAATTCTAAACCGTAAAAAATCTTTTGACCCCTAAAACCATTTAAACCCTCAAAATTAAATCCTAATATAACATAGTTAACCCAAACATAAATGATATAATGAATAAATAATTTTGAAAAAGTGGTATTTTTACAAACATTGTAAAAATATGGCATTTTTGTAAAATGCCACTTGAAAAATGGCATTTTTTGAAATTTCTCTATTTTCTTTTTTATTTTTTCTCTGAATATTTGATTTTGAGTTTCTTTTTTTATCTTTTGTTAAACTATTTAATATTTATGTTTTGGATTTGTGTTGTTTCAAATGTTTATCTTTAATAAGGTTTTAATTTTTAATATTTTTTTGTTTTATGATATATGTTTTATTAATTGGTATATACATGTTTCCAAAACGTTTTTGTTATTATCTTTCCATTTGTTATTGCTTATCACCGTCGAATAATAATACGCTGAATTTGACTTTATTAAAACCGAAATACGGTATATTGAAGAGATACAAAGATTCAAAAACAAAGCACTAATAGGTATTGAGCAACAGAAGAAACAAAGATTCAGGTTCAAGCTTTCAAGGAAGTTCAAGAACCTTGAGATGACCAGCATCATCACGTGTATCCCAAATTGCGTTATCAAGTGCTCCCATAGTCAATAGCAAACTCTACTTCAACGAGAGCATGAAGCCAAGCAATGTAAGATTGGTATCTATGGTCTTTGGTAACGCTTAAGGCAATAGCTTCTGCACTACAGTTTCCGGCACATAGAACCTGCTAAAGATGCCAATATTCAAAGGAATCTAATATGTTATGTGCTCTTTGATTTCTTTAAAATCAATAATATCACATTTAAAGTAATACAATATTCCTCAAGTCAGTGTGCTCTTTGGTTTCTTATGAACGCAGGGAACTTGGTGTTTTTGTAGCCTAGCAATTGACCTTATCTCTGTTTTTCACTCTGTTTTAGATGTTTTGTATTTTCATGGAATTTGTTTTAGGGGGAAAAGAGTGTAAAACCACAGGTCATCGATCTAAATTCACGTTGTTTTTAATTCGTTATACTTTTCAAACGGTTGTCCCTTTGGCGAGAAAAGAACAGTCGAGGATATGGTGAAGCTCCATTGTCCATTGGATCATTGGTGAAGCAGATTGACAAACAGCCAGGAACCGGATCAATGTGATTTGCAGTAACGGAGACCATTTTATGAGGCAATGGAGGTTTGGCTCTCAGGTCTCAACACGATAAAAGCTTAAGCGGATCATCAAAATTCAAAAATTCTCTGTTTTTGGCATAATGTTCTTTTTAGATATTTTTTGGTTTGATTTAGAAAAACTTCAAAAACAACTTCACATTCATTGTACAAAAAGTTTGTTTTGAATGAAATTTAACATTTAATTAAAAAAAAGTGTAGCCACAAGTGTACGTAAGACATCTTTCCGAAACTTACATATGCAATCGAATATTTAATATTATGTTATCAATACTTATTTTGATGCATGCAATTTAGTGTGAAATGTTTACGTGGATATCATTCCACAACTTAATGTCTTTTTTTTTGTGTGTGTGAGCACCACAAAGACCAGTTGAGAGTTCATTTTAATAACCTTGTAAAACGTTTATAAAAAAAAAATTTATAAAACAACCAATTGGTTATACTAATATAATAAATGTTCTTTATTACTTTTCAGATAATTAATTTAATTAATATAGGTATAGTAGCTAACTTCAGTTTTATAACAAAAACGTTAGTTGAAAACTTTAAATCTTTCGTAACTTAATTAGGTGACCATATAAATATGGCCTTATCTATCTTATTGTGGTTGACTTCACAGCCAAGTAAGAAACAAACATTGACCATATTGAAAAAACAAATGAAAACAGTTTTG